CCATACGAAGAATGTGGTAAGGCCTATCACTTCGCCACCAAGGTAAACAGGCAAGGTTGGATAGACTTTGGTAATAATTCAACCACAACCTTAATTGCAACATGAAGCTAGGGCAAACGGAAATACCGTTCAAGACGATACATCTTCATTGCTGTTGCATTGAGAACTGTCAGCTTTACAGAATGAAATGCTTTTTTTATGAATTTTTTTCTAAATTCCTATTATTCATTCTAGGTTAAATAAAAATAAATATTAAATTCATTTTGAAATAAAACTCTATGTACTATGATGTAAAATAAACAGTTTTACAGATTTAGCTCAAGCAGTTTGATTTTATTTCTAAATAAATTCTATAATATGATAAAAAGTTTTGTCGGAGATACACCATATAAAGTAATTTTTGGCTTATGTAAGTGAAGGATGAATAAAGGAGGTGATAGATATTTTGCAGAATCATACTAGGAAATAGCTGGTTCTTAGCAAGAATAATTTATTCAAAGCAAAGATATCAAGATAAAAAGGTTGAGTCTCGAAATATTATAAATGCGTTTACTATAATACTTTTAATATTATTCTGAAGCCAGTGGCCTTTTGACTTTGTGGGGAACACTTTTATTATTTGTCTACTCAGCTATCTCAAAATTCAACCAATAAATATCCCTGAAAATCTGAAAATAGTTAATTAATTGTGTAATACATATTGCCCCATTATAGTAACTGTTATCACTATCCATTTCTTAAATCTCAATACAAATTTGTCTTAGATCATTAATTGATAAAGTAATTTGATTAAACTAACCGCAGGTAACATGTTGTAGCCACAATTCCCTAAATGTACTGGGAGAAGAAATTAAAACTTCAACAACATATCTTATCATTTTAAAATATTGTTTTCGTAAATCTAAATATAATTTTTCAATAAAAAAATGGTCAATATTGTGCTGCAATAGAGTATAACAATTTGATACATGGCAAAATTGTCAAGTAATTACTAACCGCTAATTAAAAACAACTACTACTACATGGAGCAAAGCATTACTGCATATACTATACTAATTTTTACTATTATTATATGCCTAAACTACTACTGTACTATCAGAGGCAACGACACGTCAATAACCTGTCACAAATTATTGAAAGGTATATTGCATTTTAGATTACGTTGGTAATCTTGAACTTAAATTAGGTTGATTTAATTGGTTGATTGCATAAATTTAGATTTTAGGATTTAGGAGTTTCTTGACTACAATATAAGAATATTTTACTATAAGAGTCAGAAGAATATTTTACATCTAAGCTGTTTTAAATACAATTTTAAACAAAATACTTAATCCAAACAATCAACAACAAATGTACACAATATTTTGTGCGAGCTATATCTATGCTGTTTGCAACTGCTCTTGATTAGAATATCTATGATCTCCATCTCGTCAGGTGGATGTTCAGCAGCTACAGTACGTACAATGCCTGTGTGAAGACATTGTCTGACAGTTTCTCATACAGTGCTGGACTAGTCCCAGACCACTTCTGGACTGTCTCAGATCAGTTCTGGACCAGTTGACACGAAGTCGTTAGTATTTCTGTTATTGCCCAGTATGATCTTCTGTTCAGTCGTGACAATAGATATTGCCTTAGTTTCTTCTGGGGTCCGATCGTTGTGATTGCAAATTTGTGACAAACGGGACTAGGATTTGCAAAATGGTTGTTGCCTGGCTTTCTGGAGTGGCCAGTGCGGGAAAAGATACAGGAAGAATCAAAAATACAAAGCTTATTTATTTTAGAAGTATAATCATAGTTCAATTTAATTTTGAACTGTATATAAAAAAAATAAATGGGAAAAAATCTGGAAACATCGATTATTGTCGAGCATGAAAACAATATGAATACCTCTTGCCTTATTATCATAGATAACGGTTCATTAAGTCAGTTTCTATTCGCAAATACCTAGCTTATAAAGCAACGTTAATGTTGCCTAAAGTGTTTTCCCATCATTATTCCTTATTCACTTTTAGCCTAGTAAATATATAATACTTAAAGAGAATGGCATTCTCTCATATCGATTTTCCAAGTTTTGGAAAAAATAAATTAAGTTTTAACACCGGCTAAGTAGTAGGCTATAATTGACTATATAGTCAATGGTAGTATTGTGCTCTCATTACTATAATATTTTCTGTATGAATCGTCTTAGTCCATTCTATGCACTTCGCTCTGAACTATCATACTTATAATATGTATCTTGAGAATGTGCGTCGCTGTATAGTTAGTAAAAAAGACAAAATTGAAGTGTTCAGTAATGTAATATGAGTTTTAGCCAAAAACGGCGATCAAACAAAAAAGTAGTGTTTTCAATTTGAAAGGTGGATGTTAAATTTGTCTCTACATACGGAAATACAAAATCCGTATTCAATGAGGTAGCTATTCAGTTGAATAATTTAATTGGAAAGGTTATCACATTTTCGTTCCACCACTAAATTGTAATTTTGCCCACTATAAGAGTCAGAAGAATATTTTCAACACCCCTTACCTTGCATCGCAAAGTTCAGTAGAATTATGTTCGAATAAACTAAGTAATTTTCCAACTCATCAGTTTCATGGTCTCACAGATACGTAATTCCAGTGATCTGATGCCAAAATACGCCTCACTGCGCAACGGACTGGATTCCTTGGTATCTACAAAAGTATTACGTGGTATGGAGAATGTAGGCATGTTTATACTATATTCTGGGAAGGAGTGGTTTCAATATTAAATTATAATTTTTGTTCCTATTGTTGTTGACACCACCTTAGAAAAATACAACTTTTCAAAACTAATAGAAGACGTTGTCTTATTTTAATCTGTGAATTTAAGAGCTGTAACAACAACAAAATGTGTGTGTTAAAAATACTTAAAAATACAAGTGACTATTACATTAACAAAATATGCTGTAAGAATAAAAAAGTTTATTCACTGGCCTGCTTCAAATATTATTACCGTAGTATGTACCATTCTATATTTTCGGTTATCATTACATTTGCTTTGTCATATTATTTTGTTTGATTTACAAAACTATTGAACTATTTATAAATAGAAATATTATTATTATATTGGTTGTATATTAAGAAGGTATAGTTAATCTTTTACTAAAACATATCACATTGAGGTAGGTATAATTAAATCAATTACCTAAATCAAAAATTTACATTTTTGCATTCACGATTATGAAAATATAATACTGTTTAAGTAAAATGTGTCAGAACAAATTTTATATGTTGTAGTTAAGGTTTTGTTCTATTTAATTAACTATTGCTCCCATGCCTGCCTACATAAAACACATTGTACATAACGAATTTAGGTTATTAAAGAATTAATTTATTTTAGATTTTAATTTCAAATATAAGTGACTTATAAACTTAACTTTTTAGCTAAACAACGATAACTTGACATAAATTCATACGGACCAATATAACTTTATATACACTTGCCCTAGTTACAACAAAACAGTTTTAATCATGCGATGGTGTGTTAAGTTCAATGGCTATTTTGTCGTTTGGTAAACTTAGGTTGGTAAAAATCATAGCTTAATTAATGACAAAAAACCAACTGATTTTTTCCAATACGATTTTGCCAATAATTTTATCCATGGAGAGAAACTATGTATACATGAATTAGTGTCAGGGCTGTAGGGTTAGTTTTGATTGCTTTTTGGAATGCCTTGTCAGTAAGAACTCGTATTCTTTGATATATTATCTATCCATTCAAAATTGAAAATATATAGCTTAAAAGGTTTTGTAAGTTTTATATATAAAATGGTAAATTAAGAGTTAATTGTCTCTGTGATTATTATTCCTTTTATTCGATCGTTCAATGAGGATTTATTCTGTAAGCTAATATCATTGACTTTATATCTATATAATAGTCTTTGGGTTATTGCTTATATGATTTTGAGAATTATTTTGGAATTGAATAAACGGGTAGTCTTTTCTGAATGAATTAAAAAAATATGTGTTGTAAGATTGGCTAGACACACCAATTAAATTTAGGATAATCAACCAAATAGAACCCCCATGTGGTTAGGTTAGCTTTGTTTAGAACAGTTTCATTATAATTGATGTACTCATAGACCAACTTGACCAACCGATCCAATCCAAATTTATATAGCATGCGATTAAAAAACCATTGATTCTAAATATTGTATTTTTTATCATTTATTTTAATAATATTCAATTAGTTACAGACGTGTAATTAGAACAAATAGAGTTGAGAGCAGATAACGAATTTTGACCTGAAATGCGTATGGTAAACACAGCTAGCTGTGCCGAAATCCGAAACACGTAAATCAATACAAAACGATAGCTTCTCTTACTGAATCAAAAGTAAATCCATTGGATATCTCCTGAAGTACATCGGAACATAGTCGTGTAGCTTTGTACATTACAAAAAAATAACTAAAATTTAGTAAGTTCACAATTTATGAAATATATATGAAAATGTTTAGAACCGTAAATTTATTTTAAAATCTATTTTAAAATGACAAGACCTATTGTATTTTGTATTTACTTAACGGTCAATAAAATTCTTATTGTCTTGTTATTGTCTTATTGATATGCAATTAAATTACAAAGCAAAGGTTCTAAAAGAAGAAATCTTGAAATAATATCCTCACGAAATATGTGTATTTTTAAAAAAGACTCATACAATTATGATTCCTAATACGACGCATAGACAAAAACAAAGTCCAGACTACCCATGTGAAAATTGACTTTAAAATAACTATTTATCCCTCAACAGCACAATACAACCGTAAAAACACGCCACTCCACAAAAAGAAAACACGCCGTAGTAGCATAGCCAACACAAGAACATAACCTCACTCAAGTGTGGATACAGGAGAAAACAACAGTTGCTGCTCGCAGGACGGCGGGATAACAACAGGTGATCCCATCAGATCAGCTGACTGGCGAATCAGGTGATCCCGTGACGTCATGGATGACCAGACTACTTGAGTGTATCTGTAGCGTCAATTAGGAGTGTAGCCGGGTGGGGAAAGGTATGAAGTATCTGTATATAAGCCCCGGCTTGTCAGAAGTTCGCCACCTCTCCTCGAGTTCTCATTGGTTAGACAACATGCACTGGAAGACGGTAGGTCATTCATTACTTTTTTACAGTGAATTTATGTTTTATTGGGTCATGAACATATTTTAGTAGGATAGACATTAGGCAATCGGTTGAAATCTAATTGCCAATTTTAACAATAGTGTAATTTACATAAATATTTTTTAAATAATATTAATTTGCTATTTCCTAAAGGATAATTTCGGTAATTACTTCAATTAAATCTTTTTTTAGTTTTCAGATTGGATTCAATGCTTACAGATTAGATTTAAAAACATGTCGAAATGGTTTTACACATTTATAGGGACTTTGGTAGAGTCATAATTGCAACTATTAACATATTTTTATATACATAAAGTTTGAATAACAAATAAATGTCAACGTGGAAATTTTAAATATACCAAAATTTAGAATAATATTAGGCGTGTATACTTTTATTGCTTGAATAATATTGATTATTTTTTAAGGATATAAATGTATAAATGTTTATATGCTTTTAATGTTTACTTAAACCCACATTTGCCTGGTTTGAGATTACGTTTAGAAGTATAAAACTTTGGTTTGTCTTACGTTGGTCTTTGGTCATTGCTTTACAGCAACTTGGGGTTTTTTATTATGAGTATTCGAGGCAATGAAACATATTAAAATTACATAAACTTCATAAAGTCATTTTGGGTATCCGTTCAGAGCTTTGTGGAATTTCTTGAAGTTTAAACTGCATTATTCGTTTGCTGATTAATTTACTTTATAATTGTCTACATTGATTGTTACATTGATGTTATAAACTGTGTAACAAACATATACAGTTAGATTTTTTTTTAACATAGCTTTTTTATCGGTAATTTAGATTGACTTTGTAAAGGAGTATTTGGGTCATTAAATTGCTATAAGCATTTATAATAATTCATATTTTTAATATTTATAATAATTTTTAATTTTTATTAGCATTATATTTGAGCATTTTTGCAAATAAAAAAATAATATGTAAATAATACGTTTATCTGGTAATTAAAATATTAAATAAATATGCAATATTAAACATTTTCTGACAGATTTTATCGTGTTGAAACTTCAAGATAGTTATAAAAAAAGAACTTATAATTTTACATTACTTATGAAGGTATTTTAAAACATAAAAACTGAGACGTCTTTTTACACACAGTCAAACCCTATTACGTCATAAAAGCTACAAAAAATCAATGGACCAAACGAGAGGTTAGTGAACTAAACTGTAAACAATACTGGGCCTAAGGCAAATGCACATTCCCACGTAGAGATTGTGCAATATGTCAGTATATGAGGAAGCGGGGGAGGAACTGGGGCGATCACGATATGACGATGTACGACCAGTGACCAGTGACCAGTGCTCGGCTTTGTACGCATCATATAACAGTGTGAAACCCATAATGAGCTGTAGCTTCAGTTCGGTTAAAAGGCAGGACTGTTAAGGGGGTCGTTGTGTATAAGGTTATTGGGATTAAGGTTAAGGAATCGGAACAACAATGGTGTGTTAAAATATTTAAATATTCGTCACGTAAGAAAAAGTTTGTATATTAAGAAAAAATATATTTTGATAAATAATCCTAGATTACTGTATTGCGTTTTGTTGTAATTTACATGTATAAATCAATATTATGCGTTTTATTAGCTACTCGTGAATACCAAACAACAAAAACACAAATTAAAACTTAATTTGGACACTTGATATAAGTATAAAACTAGCTCAAAACTTAAATTTAAAGTATTTAAAATTTTAAGAAGTAAACAAAAATTCAATTTTTGCCTTCAAACTTAGGCTACTTGTTACGTATTTTCAAAGCACGGCAATACGATAACTGAAATCCCCAATGTGGATTTTATTCATAACTAGTAAAGAAATATTTTGGCAGTCAAATCTTAACTCATCATACTTTGCCTATTTTTATAAATACTATATCAGGAAATCTAAACTATTCTTATAAACTAAATGCAGTCTTACATTTTTATTGAAACCGAAATTTGGTGAAACATTCGGACATAATGTGATTAACATATAAAAAAATACTCAATAAAGATCACGGCTTAACATTTTGGGTTGCATTAAGCAAAACTATATATGCACGGTTCCATTTATTTCAAGAAAGTAGGTCTGAGACTTGTAACACTAGGCTGTAGGCCGAGACGTGCGGGTCACTGAAGGATGGTGGTTACCGCGGGGTCATCAGATGGTCCACATTCCCTCCAAAACACCACTCCGTCAGCTGTTACGGGATCAGCTGTTTGTTTGCAACCAGTTACTCGTAATTCGATGTTAATGGTAGTAGACTATTATATTGATCTGCCAAATTTGTGCAAGTTGATTGGTTTTTGTTCAGTGAATTAGATTATAACATACTTTTTATTGTAGTTTTATGGCTATAGATAAACTTGAAATAATAACGTAAAATATAAAGTAATTACAATGTTTTATTGAGTGATTAGGCTCAAAATAAATAGAACGTCGAATAACTGATTAATGTGCTTTTAAGAAGGAATTGAAAAATAGTTCGGCTTAAAAAACAGAAAGAATATTTTTTATAATTTTACTCACTGATACGACAAAGAAAAAATCACATTTTAAACTACTTAGGTCTATTTCATTTAAAGTTTAACTTTCAGGAATGCATTTATAAAAAAAAAACTATTTCCTCCTATTGAGCCAAAATATCCTTATAAAAGATCATGTCAGCTAATACAAAGAGAACACGTCCGTATTTAAAATATAAAAACCAAATATTAACGTTAGTTCCAAAAAAAAAATAACGATGGTAAATTGCAGTAAAGGGAGCCATAATTGTTGTTATATTCGAATGATTAAAATTAGGTGAAAAATCAAACTAAATACAAATGATTTAACTATATTAATTCATATCTTTACTGTTAATACTTTTAGCTCGCTTAATATTAGAGGAAATATGTTGAATCCAGTATTGGTCTAAAATGCATTTTAATTCAGTCAATAAATCACAATGAACAATGTTATGGATTCAAACTGTATTTTTTTATTAAAAATAACATTTCTCCAGTTAACTTAGTAAAAATTAAATTATTTTCACTTTTCTAAAATAAGTTAATCACATATTCAAATCGGCATTCAGATTTATTTAATTAACCAGACAAAAAAAATCAAATCAAAGGAGCAAAATAAAAAAAAACTTAATTACCAAATCAGAGGATATAAAACTGTATAAATACTCAACCGGTTATACATTATAATGTTAAGGGCTTAAATACCTTGCATAATTCTTTGAACATACATAACGTTACCATATTTAGTTTCTGGCTACACAAGTAAGAATCGCTGCGGTTTTATCCAACTGCTGAGATACGGTTTGTGAAATCCCAGTCAGTAATGACAGCTTCTAACCAACATCGGAGGCGACCTATGCTAACCACAAAATCACGGGCTAAATCACTGACCTTTAGAATTGGTTCTATCTAGACACACATCTCAATGCGCTAGAGATGGAGATGAAATTGTGCGGTAAATTTTGCGTGAAAAGCTACTAGACAGCAAATGTTTGAACATTAATGCAAATCCTTACACGAGTCTTGGAATCCAAACCTACAGCTAGTTTAACATTCATACAGTGTGTTAAAAATAATTTAATGTACGAGATCAAATGATTTGTGTGTAACCAGTCAAATTTATTTACTTCACTTTTGACCTCACATTTCTCTCGATTGATTTAAAATTAAGGTAATATCGTAAATGTTGTGAAATATTGAACGAAAATAATGAAGCATAAAATTAACTCGACATAAAATGTGTATACAAATTTGTTCTTAATTCCTTTGGGATTTTAAAAAAATTGCTGGAAAGTGGTTAGTTGCAGTTAGTGGTAATAGTTACCATTTTAAAATAACTAGTGTCCCTGTTGCTCGAATTCGAGCAATTCGTTATTTTAAAACGAATTTCAACCAAGTCAGCAAATATCGGTACTTTCCTGTTAAAGGGAACATTCATTATTATCGATGATTTTTTATCGATATATCGATATTTTTTATTACCGATCCATTACATATTGACAACTGATCTTGTTTAGGCCAAAATAGTCTATTATGTGGATTAAGAAATGAAACTGTTCTAAGCTAACCTAACATAACCAACCAAACTTGCTGTACTATTTAAAAATTGCTTTTGATAACAGAAAAGGCAAGTTAAACATGGAATGTTACACAGCAAGTTTGGTTAGTTATGTTAGGTTATTTTTTTAGAACAGTTTCATTTTATTATTGTTTGTTGATACTGAACAATATTTATCGTAGTTGTCAGCTGATATGTTTCAATTTGTTAATATCGATATATCGATAAAAAATCATCGATAATAATGAATGTTCCCTTTAACAGGAAAGTACCGGTACCCAAATATCTTTAGCAAACTTGTTAAATTAGCAAACTTATTGACTGTTTACAATTAACATATGCTCTTCTTCTCACTTTTGATTTCTGACAACAGCTGAAGTTTCATAACAATTTTTGTTTCCAATGTTAATCTTATGGAGAAATACAAAACTTTAAAGGGCTCCAGGGCCTCACTCTCTCATTATTTCCCTAAAAAGAAAGTTTCCTGCACAACTTCACGTTACGCTCTTTCCAATGACACCAAAAACATGACAATTGGTTCAGTAGTTTCGGAGGAGTAATTGTCACAAAAAATCTGCTTGCGTATTAAATAAGTAATATAGATAGATTTGAACATGAAATTCTCTGTCGAAAAGGTTTAGCTACTTTACATTTTAATTTTATTCACGAAACTTTTAAGAGTACAGTTTTTTTATTCTTGGCATTTAATAGAAAACAATTTATTTTTGTGTATTTCGTTTTTGCGATTGTCGTAAAAACCTCAAGTTCTGAAAAGTATTTAATACCTGCTTTTATATCTCCATTATGTTCATGAACCATTTTGACCCAAGTGAGACAACAATGAAACGCGGGCTAAAAACATTGATTCAGTTATAAAGACCACATTGCAGGAAGGTTTTTAAACCCTATTTTAATTTACATAAATTTTGAAGTCGATTGTAAACACAGATTTATGAACGTGAGTGCAATACTGTTTAATATTGAATGGTTTTAAATATTATTTTTATAAAGTTAGTAATGGATCCCTTAATTGATCATTATTTTGATAAATGACACTGGCTAAAGAAACAGATTAATTTCTTATTAGAAAACTATCTTAGGGGTCTGACTCCATTTTTTATCCATCCCTTATTCGTGTAAAAAACGGTCAGCCCAATATATAATTATAGTGGTGCAGTTACAGCTATATAGAAATAATCAATTGTATTTAAAAAGACGTATAATTTTAAAACGCTTACGCCTAAATAGGAAAGTAGTTGAACACATTGAATCGCATAATTTATCTATTACCTTAAAAGACTCTGTACCTAAAGCAGACTGAAATAGAAAATGACTACAGAACAAACGACCAAAGACTAAACATGTATTCATCGACAATCTATCCACTTTTAGTATCCAATTTTCCAATTATAACATTAGCTAGCCTTGGAGACATCCCTAAGTGGATGGCATGCAATCTTGTGTTCGTTCGCCACGCGAAGCCGTGTTTGAGGTGATCCTGTATCAATGACGTCACTAATTGTGGGGGAGAGCTACGTATCTATTGTAGGATGACGCTACGTGAGGCAATGCAGGAGTGCTCCAGGGGAGTTTCGCAAGGAAGCGCACTAGGTCCGTTCATTTTTATGGGATCAGTTTTACTTTTAGTGTTACTATGCTTATTAGTGGACTTGCGAAAATAGTATAGGGATTTTAGTTCGTCATAGCTGTGTTTTTATCTGTGTTTGAGTAACGTAGATTCTTTAACTTTGTGAACATGTGGGATTTTATAATTTGTAATTGGTAAAATCTGTCTTTGAATAACAGTATTGTTTAGTGATTCAATAAGCTTAACAGTTAATATAAATTAGTACCGTCCTTTGTTTTTTACTCCAAGTGTTTACTCCATGTTGATATGTGGTAAATACAACAAATTTGCATACGAATAGTTTGGATTGTAAGGATAGTAGCTATTATCTCGGTCCAAGATGCAAACAGGATAAGTTCAATTCACTGCATGCTCAAAATATTATGTAAGGTGTTCAAGCTTTCCCTTTAAAACTCCATATACTAGTTTTTTGAAACCTCTCTGCAGTGTAATGCTTTCCCAAATAAGACGAATTATATTTTTAATTACAGTTACCTATAACCTTTCCTGGGTTTAATAATTTTTCCAAAATTAGCACGAGACAAATACGTTCCCACCAAAAATATCTCACATCACATGTTACAGATATTGTACATGTTATAAATTGTTTTATTTCCTTTTCATTTAAGTGCATGGCCTAGACACATTCTAGGCTTATTAAGTCGTTTTAATGTTTATGCGTTTGCTCCTGTTATCAGGAATTGTTCGGTTCCCCTTCCCCACTATGTAGCGTGCGTAACAAACTAGTCGTTGTACATCAATGGTAATGGGGTTATAGTTGCAATACTGTAATGTCGTACCTTCACACAGCCCGTGTGATACTTGCCTGTCATGGGAGGTTGCACAAGTGAGCCGAGAGCTGAAGAACTTGCAAGTTTACACCAGTATATTGTCAATTGTCCCTGCTTGCCAATGCTGAAATAAGAAATTGCAACCGTCATTTTTTTTTTTGCATTTTTGTCAAGTAGTTGAAGTAGTGGTAAAGTTGAATAGCTACGGATTATAAGGTAAATTATTAAAATTCACAATGTTCTGGTGGTATTTTATTGAGACAAGTATAATTGTTTTTGCTTTATATATAGCTTTAATAATCATCAAATAATTTACTTTGAATTTCATTGTTTACATGGTAGTATAGTTTCATCTAACAAATATGTGGTAGCTGTAAAACTAAAAGAGTCTAAAACCTTAAATTATTTGTTAAAGTTTTAGTGTTTTAGGACGGAATGACAATTGAAATGTGAGTTTGAATTAAGATATATAATTTGTGAAACACATATCTAGACATTTTCTTACAACCCCCATTGATTAAAGCTATAATGAAAATTTAATTAACATCCCATATAGGTGTTGGACGATAATCTAAATTTGAGACATTCCATTGCCTTGATAGATATTTTCTAATTGTTTTGATTTCAATTTAACTATTTTACATGCCTCTTTACTCACTGCACACCCCCTTGATCAATACGAGAATATCGGTAAGTAGAAACTCAGCGGTTTAGGCCTATAATTTTAGCTTAGTAAAACAAACATGTTTTAGCCCACATGGTTTTCAACTTACAATAGATTCTCCTCTCGGTCGATCTCACGAGTTATTCACGAAGCGTCTTCATTAGTTAACCGTCTTTATTATTTCGTCATTGAAGCATGCAATCCATGTCTCAGCTGAATAATTGGCAATTAAATAGCTGTAACAATCAAAGGTGAGGCCATTACATTCTCACTGATGGAAACATTTGCTAACTAAACACGAACTTCTTAATTGCCTCTAATGCTCGAGGAATCTAACGACCCCTCATATCAGCACTGGTGATAATTACCGTTTAGTGATTATGTTGTTAAGTCCATAGACGTACTTATCCGTTTCATTAGATACATACAGTGTTTGTATTGACTCTTTTTAAGCAAATCCACAAAGTAAACTTTTTGGAATAATACTATTTAGATAAGTATCCGTTGTTAAATTGCTTGAATGCCTCAAAAAATATTTCCTAATTTTGCGCTTACATATTCAGAATGTATATTAGAATCTGATAGTTCACCCGTCGTTTTGATATTATATTTTTCTACACTTATCCACGAACTTGTGTTTTAATACTTCATTTGCATTTATTCATTAGTTATTAACTCAAATCGATTTTTTAAATACGTAATAAATGATTGATAGTGTAGTGGAATCTATAATAAATATTTACCCTGCTTACATCTAACTAGAAATTTAAGATCTAGAAAACAAGCTTTTTAACCTAACTACCCAGACAATTTGATTGTGTAGTGTTTTTAAGTTATCGACACAAATCAGTAATCATTGGTGGTTTTTCTTTCTTCTCATTTGCCCAGTGACTACTGGCCTCTGAAAGTAGAGGATCGTTGTGATAAATTTACAATATGGCAGTCTTAAGCAAACGTAGAGGTAAAACAAAATAGGTGGCTGGTGTCGATTTAGAAATGTCTGGCTTACTAGCCCCACTAAACTACCATGAATGGTTTTATTGAAGAATCATTGACTATTGATTATCGGATGTCTTGTAATGCAAAAGAAAAAAATATACTCAACGATTTTAGAATTGCCACTTTGGTAGTTTACTGTCAGTTCAAAGAATTTAAACAATTCAGGTAATACACTGAAGTTTCTTTTGTACATTGTAGATTTCTTCATCATTAAATTATTTAAAATTTTTGTTTGCAGGCAGTGGTCGTCTTACTAGCCGGCGTGGCTACAGCCGCACGACTAGATAACTCATACCTACCCCCCGCCGGAGCAGCATTCTCCGGTGGTACTGGGGGCCAGGGAGGAATCGCGGCACCCTTCGCGGGTACCGGAGCTGGAGGATACGGTGGCGCTGGTGGTAAAGGAGCTGGAGGCTATGGTGGTGCTGGCGGTGCTGGAGCTGGAGGCTACGGTGGTGCTAGTGGTGCTGGAGCTGGAGGCTACGGTGGCGCTAGTGGTGCTGGAGCTGGAGGCTACGGTGGCGCTAGTGGTGCTGGAGCTGGAGGCTACGGTGGCGCTAGTGGTGCTGGAGCTGGAGGCTATGGAGGCGCTGGAAGCAAAGGAGGTGCTGGTGGTAGGAATAATTTACAACTAGACTCACTAAAGTTTGTATTGATGAAATTTGACTTAGCACCATTTATAAGCCCAAGTATCGACTAAATAAAAATGCAGTTTTGTCAGCACAAAAGAGTTAGTGTATCTTGTTTCTAAATCTTATCAATGCTACTATCTGATTTGCAATTGATAATCTATTTGACAATAAATCAACTAGAAGGTATTTAAAAAAAACTTCATATGTTTTACCCATTCTCTTAATAGATTATAAATATAACTTTTATATTTATAAATACTAATTCAATTAAATCTTAAAAAGGTAAATTCCAAGATTTAGTTAAAATTCTATAATTTCGTGTTTTAGGTTATGGTGGTACCGGTGGTGCAGGAGGCGCTGGTGGATATGGCGGATCAGCTGGTGGCGCTGGAGCTGGAGGCTACGGCGGATCAGCTGGAGGTCGAGGAGGCGCTGGTGGATATGGCGGATCAGCTGGTGGCGCTGGAGCTGGAGGCTACGGCGGATCAGCTGGAGGTCGAGGAGGCGCTGGTGGATATGGCGGATCAGCTGGTGGCGCTGGAGCTGGAGGCTACGGCGGATCAGCTGGAGGTCGAGGAGGAGCTGGTGGATACGGTGGAGCCGCTGGTGGCGCAGGAGCTGGAGGGTACGGTGGATCAGCTGGTGGTGCTGGAGCTGGAGGCTATGGTGGAGCTGCTGGTGGATCTGGAGCTGGAGGATACGGTGGTTCCGCTGGTGGTAGAGGAGGAGCCGGTGGATACGGTGGATCATCTGGAGGTGCTGGAGCTGGAGGGTACGGTGGTTCAGCTGGTGGTGCTGGAGCCGGAGGCTATGGTGGAGCCGCTGGTGGAGCTGGAGCTGGAGGATACGGTGGTTCCGCTGGTGGTAGAGGAGGAGCCGGTGGATACGGAGGATCATCTGGAGGTGCTGGAGCTGGAGGCTACGGTGGATCCGCTGGTGGTGCCGGAGCTGGAGGATACGGTGGTGGCGCCGGTGGCGCTGGAGCTGGAGGATACGGCGGTGCTGGAGCTGGAGGCTACGGTGGAGCTGGAGGTGCTGGTGCAGCTTCTGGACCTGTTATTCCTATCATCTCTTACCAAAACAGTCCCAACCAGGGTGACGGCTCTTACTCTTGGAGGCAAGTGTGATAAATAGTATCCTATAAAAACTCACTTATAACAATGTTGGAACTTTATTCGTTTGTTATAACGCATTAATTTTAAGTCACCTAAAAACCATATCGTTAGATTTGTCAAGTTTTTTTTTCTAAAATATAGCTCATAGTTTAATTATGTTTCAGCTATGAGACTGGCAATGGAATAAAGGCTCAAGAAGATGGATACCTGAAGCAAGACGCTCCTGAAGGACCTGGTGAGGCCGCCCAAGGTTCATTCTCTTACACATCGCCCGACGGACAGCAAATCCAAGTCTATTACACCGCTGATGAGAATGGATTCGTTCCACAAGGAGCACATCTGCCAACACCTCCTCCAATTCCCCAAGAGATTCAGGACGCTCTAGCAAAGAACGCCGCTGATGAAGCTGCTGGAATTTACGATGACGGAAGCTACACCGGAGTTGGTGCTGGTGCTGGAGGCGCTGGTGGATACGGTGGTGCTGGAGCTGGTGGAGCTGGAGGCTATGGTAGCAAGGGAGGTGCTGGTGGTGCCGGAGGATACGGTGGATCTGGAGGCAGTGGTGCTGGAGGATATGGTGGAGCTGGAGCTGGTGGGGCTGGAGGATACGGTGGTTCTGGAGCTGGTAGCGCTGGAGGATATGGTGGAGCAGGAGCCGGTGGCGCTGGAGGATATGGTGGAGCAGGAGCCGGTGGCGCTGGAGGATACGGTGGAGCAGGAGCCGGTGGTGCTGGAGGATACGGTGGAGCAGGAGCCAGTGGCGCTGGAGGATACGGTAGCAAGGGAGGTGCCGGTGGAGCTGGAGGCGCTGGAGGATACGGTGGAGCAGGAGCCGGTGGCGCTGGGGGATACGGTGGAGCAGGAGCCGGTGGTGCTGGAGGATACGGTGGAGCAGGAGCCGGTGGCGCTGGAGGATACGGTAGCAAGGGAGGTGCCGGTGGAGCTGGAGGCGCTGGAGGATACGGTGGTGCCGGAGCTGGTGGCGCTGGAGGATATGGTAGCAAGGGAGGCGCCAGTGGTGCTGGAGGATACGGTGGAGCAGGAGCCGGTGGCGCTGGAGGATATGGTGGAGCAGGAGCCAGTGGCGCTGGTGGTGCCGGAGGATACGGTAGCAAGGGTGGCGCTGGTGGTGCCGGAGGATACGGCGGAGCAGGAGCCGGTGGCTCCGGTGGCTACGGAAGTAGAGGAGGTGCTGGTGGTGCCGGTGGCTATGGAGGTGCTGGTGGAGCGGGAGGCGCCGGTAGTGGTGGATACTCCCAAGGAGGTTCAGCTGGTTACTCATACCCTAAACCAGGAAAATAAGCTCAGTCTAGATTTATGATCAGGAATATTATAGCATTACGATTCAAACGAAGCGCTTAACTAAACATGTGTTACCATTATTACTTGACCAATTTGTTCTCATGACCAGTATTAATAACGCTAGATAGCCTACTCTAATTTATACAATAACTCCTTGTTATGATGTATTCGTGTGCTGTCTTTACCCTTGGTTGTAAAGTAGTGTTCTAAGTCAAATATAGGACTACTCTTCCCTCATTAGTGAACTTTCAAATATTTAATACCTGAGATTGGTACAATTTAGTGACCATTTGCAAAAATTTTTGTAGTTTGTGCTATAATTTGTACGTGTTGTGCCAAGTCTTATATTGTGATATAGGCCTACCATTGTACCAGGTGTTTAATATATGAAAGTGTCAATTGATGGCGATTGTACATAAGTTATTTTAGTATTGTATATATGTATTGAATTTTTAATACAATTTTGTATGAAAATATTTGTTTTTTATCATTTAAACCCATAACAAATCTATTAACTCTTAGAGCTGAGAAGGTTATCCAAGGTTTTGCATTCTAAATACTAAAAGCTTTCCAGGAAGTTTTACTCTAAATTTCCCCTACTAGGAGTTATCCTAATAATCTGCAAGAAGGCTCAACAATGAAATGAACAACATGCTTTTTACAACATGAAATTGAGTTAAACATCTCCGTTAAAAAGAATTCTAACTTTTGTACCCTGGTATATGGCATGATGTCTCTTTCCTTTTAAGCAGTTAATTCAATAAACGAACAAGTATTTTCGGAGCAACTTCTACAGATTACATCATAGCTGTATGTAGCTTAATACGTTCAACAATTGTTTTATGATCCATATTAATATTTAAAAAGAAAAGAGCATTCTCATTCTTGCAAGACGATATCGGGTTGCTCTATTAACATCTCTGCTACTTCATCAGTTAGTCTTATAGAAACAACCATCCCTCCAAATAGTTTTACCAAGTGACCTTACCAACTTAGTTGAATTGTGTTGGGCTTGACAACCATACTCTAGACATTTATCCATGCAAGAGGGTAAAACAACATAAAATAGGTAAACATCCGTTTAGCCAGAGTACTCTAAATTTTATGGGTACAGTAAAACGACGTGTAACAACATTACTTAATCTAAAACCATCATGAAACATGTAAATCAATCGCTAAATAAGCTAAGCCATCAAGCATTATCGCTGCTGGGCGAATAGTTTGTCCGGCTTGACTAACCAAAACTCAAAGAAGCAGATGACGATATGAATCTCATACTGTGATGTAGATCAGGTTCAGAAAACAATTATTGTTTATTATATATTGTTGTGTATATAGTTTTAGATTTTAAGATTGTGGCAATATAATCACAAACAACTACTGTTGTCGATCTCTTTGAATGGTTTTAGATTTTAAATTCCTAGCATTGACTAAGTGTGCAAAATTCTATCCGAAGTGGCAACATCTCGTTCATTAATTTGGTTGGGTTTTTACTCTATCTTACAAGTATATACTCTTCGATACACTGTACTGTTATTTTAAGACACAAGTTGTCGTTCTGTTGACTTCTGACACTTTGACAAATGTTGTGAATTGCAACGTGAAGAGTCTATAAAATATATATGAAACAATACAATTTAACTAAATGAATAACCTGCAAACAGTAGTAAAACTGCAATTTTTTACTATATAATGCTGTAAGGGAAGTGGGCATTGCTTAAATTGAGATTCTCATTGGAAACAACATGAGAAAGACCCATCCACATACACTAGATGAATACATTTGAACTAGGAAAGAATTTTTGTCTCAAGTACGTAAATTTAAACTGGCGGTATCAATTCCTAAAAAAAGTCAAAATAATGACAGTTTTATGATTCAATATTATTATTAATGGTTATGAATTACAAACAAATTCCCATAATGTGCAACAATTAAGGAGGGGTGTTATCTTTCTTACAACAATAAACAAAAGGTGTTTATCATTAGATAACTTCAATTACCATATCGAAAATTACAAGAATAGAGTTTTAGTAGTTTATATTTGTTAGAAGTACTCTATGTATACTCTCTACTGCCTGCCATTTGAGGATAAAATCATATGTTTTATCAATTGTTATGATCTATTTACTTACTTGTTTACTTTTTATCAGTTTTGTTCTCAACCATGTTAATAAACCATCAATTGTTTTTCATCTCTTTTATTTTGTAAAATCTAATCAATCATACTAACTATCCAACATTGTGTGTAGAGCTCTAATCGACCAAGGCTCCGAAATTACCTTTATCAGCGAGCATCTAGTGCAGACTCTTCATATTGAACGCTCCTCATCCTCACTCTCTCTTATCGGTATCGGAGGAAATCAAACATCAACTACTCGTGGAGTAGTGTCCCTTAACATTGGGAGTCCATCTAATGACAAAATTCATCTGTCCGTTAACAGCTCATATTCTGCCAAAACTCACTGCTAAGTTACCTACTATGACACCAGGTAAATCTAACTGGCATCATATCAAGAAGCTTCAACTAGCTGATCAAAATTTCATGACCCCTGGGTCTGTAGATTTGATACTTGGAGCTGATGTTTATGGAAGTATCATTCTTCCTGGACTTATCAAGGGTCCGCCTCTAACTCCTATCGCTCAATCAACCATCTTTGGTTGGGTGTTATCTGGACCAATTGGATTTATCATCAATGCCAATAAATCACCAATGTATCATTGCCTACTGGAGAATAAAGTAGATGATTTACTTCAGAAGTTTTGGGAACAGGAGGATTTTTCCAAAGATCCAGTTCAGGTTTTATCTCCTGAAAATCAAAAGTGTGAAGAACACTTTCAACCGACGCACTCTATGACTGAAAGAGGAAGATACGTTGGTACAACTCCCACTAAAAGAGTCAGCCAAAAATCCCGGACCTGACAACCTCATTCGTTTGGTAACACTGGAGACAGCTACTGGAACACCCAAGCCCTCTTCCTATCACAGAATACGATTGCCCAGTTCCCTGTTGCAATTTGGGGGGGGGGAGTATGTTAGAAGTACTCTATGTGTACTCTCTACCGCCTGCCATTTGAGGATAAAATCATATGTTTTATTAATTGTTATGATCTATTTACTTACTTGTTTCCTTTTTATCAGTTTTGTTCTCAACCATGTTAATAAACCATCAATTGTTTTTCATCTCTTTTATTTTGTAAAATCTAATCAATCATACCATCTATCATTAACAATATTTATCTAAAGTATATCTTAATCTAGTTAATATTCCAGTAAATTTAATTGATATGACAAAAGTCACCACTCATTATACATTAACATAATTTACCTTTTTTCTGTACAATTAATTTCCCTGTTCCTAGTCTATATAAACTTCATTTTATTTATATAGACTAGAGCACCCATGCTGCTTCGCAGTGTTAAAATAAAAATAATATCCGAAAAATGATCAAATTAATGATTTTTGATTGAGTAATGCAGTATAAAACGACCGATAGCTCAAATTAAAGCCTATAATTTACTGATTATTTTCAGTCTAAAACATATATATATACAAAAAACATGAACAATACTTATAATGACTCAAAATTCAATGTTTATAAATATAGTCCTTATTTAAATTCCAAACTCAATCTTGTTATATTTGCAATATTTATTCATTTTCATTGTTAATATTATTAAAACCATATTGTCTCAACATATATACAATTTATAATCAAAATGTATTCATTGGCTTATCCAAAATTATTATTCAAAACAATTCCTCTATTTAAAATACAGTGCATCTGGGTTCAAGATTACAAGTAAAATTCAACCATGTTTTTATTTATGTGAACCCCATATTAAAAAAAAAAGTTTTACAACAATGGACAGTGCAGTTAAGGTATCCAAGAAGAACACACAGAATCTGTTAATTGTGAAATAAATTGTGAAATTATAAAATAAAGTATTGGCAGACTATCCAAATCAAGTTAACTGAAGAAAGAAGAATTTAGGCCTACATTATTTAGAAGAAAATTATTAATATAGAAGATTGGTGAGAAAATTCCATTTAAGTTATTAAGTTATTTAACTTAGTTACTCAGACTATAGACTCCTAAAACATCCATTTGCACCCAACTTACCTCCATTCATTAAAATCAAAATCCTTCCTATTTATTGTTTCTAAAAGATCATTTAATTTATAACTTTCCGTACTTATTGAAAATTTAAATTGGGCATCAACGACATCTTTTGATTCAGCCAGCACGAATCCCCACCCCTGAACAATTTTTGTAACCTTATATTTTAATCATTTATGTAAATTACCATTAAACGTTGTACTTTAAAACCTCTGTCCTCGTAATTTTTACTGTTTAAACTGAGATAAGATTATAATAATACAATATTTAGGGGTTTATTTCATACTGGAGCTATTGAATTTTAATCATAGAAAACATTTATGAAAAATAATATTTATGTTGGTTGTTCACCTGCGTTTTGCGTGAAACTCATCCGATTTGAATAACTAATAGCTTAAATGAAAGCCGGTATTTCACTAAAAGTTCTTAGACCAAAATGTATAGGATTATAATTATCACTGGTAAAATACATCTTAAATTGAAGTAAGAATTCTAAAATGAGACAAACGAACTCCGAACAGAGAAACCAAATTTAACTCCAATAAAAATGCATAGGGAGCAAACTTTGTTTACGTATAAGCCGAGTGGGATTGTAGATAAATATATGCCGATGCTTGATGGTAAATCTGTGCGTGCATGCCTTCAATTTGAGACCTCAATCATAAAATCAGTCGGGTAGCAGAGTCAAACGAACTTGGAAAAGAAAAACAAATTTTTTTTAAATACATAAGATGATATGTTCACCTGTTATTTGATTTTTATTTATAATTTGTAAACAAATAAAAAATATGTTCTGGGTTTCAACTAAACTAGACCTCTCCATTCTCTTTAAAGTATCTTTTTTACTATTCAAGTTTCAACAACCTGCCTTCTGCCAACTATGATGTCCTCCTCCGGTATAGAAGTGGTGGAGGACAAACTCTATACTAATCCTGATGGTGGTGACAGCGGTGTTGACAACAAATTAACTGTATATCATCTTTTTATCTTGTCGATCAGTTTTATTAGTTCACAATTCACGTTGGTTATTTTCGTTTGTTTTGAGTTACAAATTGAAAAATATTGCAATCTCAGCCATAAAAGTTGCAGCGATTTGTATCAGTTAGGGTATCACTCTTGTTCAATCCAAAATGTAACTCCATTCAGGGAGCTGCAGTTGTATCTTCACAGCCTTTTGGTATTAGGTACTGATGCGACGCTACTTTCTGCACTGGGAAAATAATATTACAAGTGCGTGCAGTCGCAACCGTTTGCCGGGGATAGCTCAGCCTACAATGGCTGGGTATTGTTCCAGGGTCTGCGATAAGGTCAGGGAAACCACTAGGCCAATAGCCGGGTCTAACCGGTATAGGACTG